TGTAAACCCATTCCATGTAGTTTTCCTTTAAAATCATTCAACTGAAATAGTAATTCAAGAGCAAAGTTTCTAACAAAGTGACTATTCCTTTTTTAAAAAAAAATTTTGGGCTGTGCTGTGCTGTGCAACTTGTGGGATCTTAGTTCCCCCACCAGGGATTGAACCCGGGCCCACAGCAGTGAGAGCACTGAGTCCTAACCACTGGACCACCAGGGAATTCCCACAAAGTGATTATTCCTTAATTCCAGAAGATAATCAGGAATTTAGTCTCGTTTGCACAATAAGAGATAGGGGAGTGGGGGAAGGGAATAAAAATAAAAGGGAGTTTCACGTGCTTCCCCAAGCTATATTAGCTATCAGAACAGAGATAACACTGTGCTTCTCTCTAAATTATCAGTGCTAAGTACATTTCTTCAGTCACACCCATGCATTTGTTCAATTATTGAGCAGCTATTGCGAGCACAGTTGTATAAGGGACAGAAGGTTGAAAAAGATCCTCAAGGGGTTTATAAATTACAATTTGGGGGAAAATACAGCAAATAGATACTTACAGTATTAGGTGAATGTAACTTCTCTAGGAGAGAGAGAAAGCCTGTGGGAGTTAGGATTTGGATGAGAAATCAAGGTCAGTTTCATGAGCGGAACTATGAAGAATGCTAGCATTTCCCCAAGCAGAGATATGCAAAGATGGAAGAAACTGATCAAACAAAAACGTGGAGGCGGGGAAGTAGGTGACAGTGAGCATTACAGCTTGATTGGAAAGGAGGGTAGTGGAAGGAATTAAAGTCAGCCAGGGCTAGGACACTGACAGCCTTGAACGCCAAGCTAAGGAGAATGGAGTAAAGTCCAAAGACAGTAAGGACTCTCAAAGGCAATATGGGCTACCAAATCTTTATTCCTTTTTCATCCTGTAAGATTAATTATAAATAAAGCATATAGTAATGGACTGTAGAGTAAAAAGAGCAAATCAAAGATGACATATAGCTTGACAATTTTTTTATAAAGTTCAAAACAAAAATAAACAACATAGTGTTTAGGCACAGGTGTGTGTGTGTAAATAAAAGCAAGGTAATGACTAACAAAATTCAGAATACTGATAATTTCTGGGGAGGTGTGGGATGAGATAGGGAGGAGCATAGGTAGATGTCATGTAAATTATTAGTTATTCTCAACCTTACAGTTGGTAGGTGTTTGTTTACAGGTGTTTGTCCATGGGTGTTACTGAGTAAACAAATAAAAGGGACCTGGATGCACCAATGATGACAATGTGCCTAACCAAGAAGCCTGACTTACCCAAATCTGTGTATCTGGAGGTCCACAGGAGACTAAAAAGATACTATACTACTGTTGAGGCTTTTCACACTTGGATTGCACTAGCAGTGAGTGTTTATTTTCCTTCGACTTGTCTTCCGGAGGCCAGGTGAAAAAGTAATGCCTCTATGTGGGTGGCCCGGGACTGTCAGAGTCCTGACTCTGCAACGCTCTGTTCTATTTGTAGAGTGGTGCTTCTCAGCCCAGGTCATATATCGAAATCACCTGTGGAACTTTAAGCACTACAGCTGTTCATGCCCCACACAAACCTACTGAATCAGAACCTCTGAAGGAAGAACCCAGGTATACATATTTTCAAAAGGTTTCGTAAGTGATCCTGAGGGCAACAGGGACTGGAAACCATTCCTTGCAGAGTGTACTTAGAAACTCTAAATGGGTAGCTTGTCACAAATGTAGACTTCAGGGTCCTATCCCGAGAGATTCTGATCTAGGAAGCAAGGAGAAAGGCCCAGAAACCTGCATTTGTAATACAAATCTTCCAGGGACTTCCTTCAGAAACATTGCCCCAAGGGTTCCAAAACCCTAGGGCCTCAGGGTGATTACTCTGTGTATTCGGTTCCTAGGACTGCCATAAACAGAGTACCACAAACTGGGTGGCTTAAAACAGAAATTTATTCTCTTAGGTCTGGAGGCTAGAAGTCTGAAATCAAGGCATCAGCTTGGTCATGCTCCCTTTGCAATCTGTAGGGTAAAATCCTTCCTTGGTTCTTCTAGCCTCTGGTGTTTACTGGCAATCCTTGGCATTCCCTGGTTTGTAGATCCATCACTCCAATCTCTTGTCTCTGTCTTCCCCCTGAACGTCTCTGTCTTCTCTTCTTAGAAGGACACCAGTCATATTGGATTAGGGCCAACCTAATGACCTCATTTTAACTTGATTACATCTGCAAAGACCCTTTTTTCAAATAAGGTCACAACACATTCACAGGTACTGGGTGTTAGGACTTCAACATATCTTTTGGGGGGGACATAATTCAACCTGTGGCACTCTTTTAATAGTTTTTTAAAGTAGGTCCCCAAACAACCAATAAGATTAGCTATGTTCTTTAGCTGGGATATCTAGATAGAGAAACTGATAGTTAACTCTCAAAGCTCTACATGCAAAGAATCACATGAAAATCTTGTGCTTAGAATGCATATTCCTGGGCCTTGATCCAAGATATTAGAACTCAGTAGGCCTGGGGAAGGGCCTAGGAGTCTACATTTTAAATCAGGTAAGGGGTTCGTGCATCACACTCTTGAGAAAAACTGGATTTGGGAGGACAAGCAAGGCTAAGAATAGAGTGGTCTGGGGAGAAGGAGCTCCCAAGAGTAGACCCTGCAACCGGCACTTGTAACAAGCTACTCAGGAGAACCACTGCCTTTGGGGCTGGTGTTTCTAGGGAACAAAAGGGTACCTACGTGATTATCTTTTCCACTTGTTAGTGAATCAGAAATCAAAATAGATGTACCTTTAAGTATTGCAAAAATGTTTCCTAGACCATAGCTCCAAAGACAGTAGAAAGAGACCCTGTCTCTTTGTTTGCTCTTGTTTCTTGAGAACCACAGGGGTGGTAGGGGAATTAGATAGGTAGGCTAAGGATCATGAAGATTACAGAAAGTATAGTACCACAGGTTAGTGAACATAAACTTTAAGCTAAAATTCTCCCAGGCTGGGCGCACAATTCAAGGTTATAGGAAGAGTAATGTAATTGTTGGAGCTGTTTCTATTAACGCTCCTTGGGCATGTTAACAAGCGACAGAACTGGGCTACATTGTCAGCTCTCTGACACTACTGCACATAGAAGTTTGACAGGTGATGGTGGTTTATGTTGTTTATATAGTCACCCATATTAAAAATTCATGTTCTGAAAAACAAGCTAAATCATTTTGGAAGCCTTCAACAGTAAATAGTTGACCCTATTTACACACTTGAATATTTTTGTGAATAAAGACAAGGTTCTGGGGCTTCCCTGGTGGCACAGTGGTTGAGAGTCCGCCTGCCGATGCAGGGGACGCGGGTTCGTGCCCCGGTCCGGGAAGATCCCACATGCCGCGCGGAGTGGCTGGGCCCGTGAGCCATGGCCGCTAAGCCTGCGCGTCCAGACCCTGTGCTCCGCAACGGGAGAGGCCACAACAGTGAGAGGCCCGCGTACCGCAAAAAAAAAAAAAAAAAAGACAAGGTTCTGTCTTTACCAATAATGAATGATGCAGTTATTTGCTCAGAACAAACACACCCTTTCAATTACTTCTGATCTACAAATACTGAGGGAAAAAACTGTATTCTCACCCCACAGACTTAAATGAGAGAGACAGAACACAAAAACGAAATTGGGGGAAGCCTACATTCCTGAAAATTCCATGATTTGTTAAAGCGACCCATGGCACTGCGACCTGGGGTTTGAAGAAATGAATCCTTAGATTTAGGCCTTCATTTCAATGCTAGGCTTTCCTGCTTAAACTAGGGCAGTGGTTCTCAGTCCTGACTTTACAGTCACTTGTGGAGCTTTTTAAAAATACCATTGGTTGGACCCCACCCCAGACCAATAAAATATGACTCTCTGGAGTGGTGACCAGGCCCCCTACTGTGGAGATTATGATTCAGAAAGTCCAGATGGGGGCCCAGGGTCTGTATTTTATTAAGTACTTCAGGTAAATTTTATGACCAGTTAGTCTGGGAAACACTGTCTTAACCTAACCTAGTTATTAGCTGCTGTTCTCTGATCTGAATTTTTCTTTAACCTTGTAATCGGTATTTACCACTTAGGAAAAAAAGCATTCAAAATGATAAAAATTCAGGGTATCATTTTAAGACTAATTTTCCCATAGCAAAACATTTTGCAACATATCAGTTAATTTTTATTTCAAAACAAATTGCCATCTGTTTTTCTTAGACACCCGAACCTTTTATTGTTGTTTTTGATTTTCAGGAAAATAAATCTGTTGAAGAATTTTAAGAGTCAAATCTTCTGAGCCTAGATCTACTGCTGTCTGCATCTCTGAGACCTCCTCCATCTGAGAATTACCAGGTCTGACAACACTTTCCCTCCAGCCTACAGTGAGGGATGTCAACAGAACTGTAGAAAAGTCACATCCTCTAGACTTCCAACCCTCAAGCTGTGGCAGCTGGAAAGAAACCTTACAAGTGTCATCCCTATGGGGGATTCAGAAAGACAAGAAGGGTAAAAACTCAGATATGCTGAGCCTGAAATATACAAAAGCTTTTAGAAAATGCTGAGCCTGAAATATACAAAAGCTTTTAGAAAGTCTCCCCACAGAAGAATCCAATTAAATTCACATAATTAATGCACACATTTAGATGAGCTGTAGATAAAATAGAGCTCTTTCTCCCTCTACCAAAAGACAGGAAAAGTCCGATTTAATACTCATTCTTGTCTCCATACCAGTATTATAAAGCAGTTTCACCATATTTATTTTAATCAGTATATGAGTAGGACTGTGGAAAGTAAAAGATTTTATTTATATTTTTTAAAAAATGATTAAGAAGTTCTGATAAAAACTATTTGGGAGGGGGATGCTTGTGCACTACTGACTTGGCTCTGGTTGTGACTGCTTTGTGTATGAGATTGTTAGAACACCTCCAGCTATTCAGAGACAGCCTAAGTGACTGTGGAATGCCTCAAGGGCAATAGAAATCAAATAGAAATAGGTACCAACTCAAGTCTTAAGTGATGACGGAGGTGCATTTCAAGTACCATGGGAATCTCACTGGGCGGGCCCATTTCCCCACCCTGGCAACAGAGGTTGACACTACTTCAGAGAAGTATTCCAGCCTGTATATGTATGTGGGCTTATTCCTGAGCCTCCTGGCCATTCTCCTCATCCTGCTCTTCACAATGCTCCTTCGGCTCAAACATGTCATCTCACCCATCACCTCCGAGAGCACAGAAAGTGTTCCTCAATTTACAGACGTAGAGATGCAGAGTCGAATCCCCACTCCTTAAAGTCAGGAAGAAAGTGAGCTTTAATGGATCTCAGTGAACCCTTGTATGTTGATGTCCAGGAAAGCTGACTTTGTTGCATGTAGCTTCCCACGTGGGGAATCAACAAGTTGGTCACTTAACAAGTTGTTCATGTTTTCTCTGTGTTATTCTTTATCTTGACTCTGCTTGTGGGATATCTAAGAGGTTTGACTCATTCCTTGCCAGGAATATAGGAAATGGCAGCTGGTTGGGAGGGAGGTTTCCATGGTAACCAAAGAGAGCCTGGGCCTTGAGCAAACCTCAGACTGTAGAAATTCACATGCAGCTGTTGTAAAAAAACACATGACCCTGGAGGCTCCAAGAACAAGGAAAATTTGCCTTTGAAAGGGCTAATTGTTCAAAGAGGGTATCCCAAGAAAGGAACAAGTTTTAATTTAGCAGTTGGACCCTAAAGAATCACCTCTGCTTACATGAAGTTAAATCATGTTGGAGGTTAATGGAAGGGACCACGAGCCCTTTCCCAAAGGAGCAGTGATTTTATCATCTGTGGCCATCGGGTTTGTCCCAAATGAAAGAAGAGTTCTTAAAAGAAACTGTTTCAATTTAAAGAGCAAGTTTACAAAAAGAAGTTTCTAGTCAACAAACTCATCTAGAGAGGGAAAATGTGCATTTTATATCTGTGTTATTATTATTACTGGACTTTTAAAAACTCTGATAATGGCCGATGTATTACAAAAATCTGGAACAATGAGCTCCCCCCAGACCAAGGGAAAATTAAGTCAAAATGTGCTTATGATAATGAACCTTATATTATACGTGCAGCTTCTTTGCCTTTTTCTCCTTACCCATCATGCTCCAGGATTGAGTTGCACTCAAATATAAGCTTTGTTTAAAGATAGCCTCGGCAGGGCTTACCTGGTGGTGCAGTGGTTGAGAGTCCGCCTGCCGATGCAGGGGACACGGGTTCGTGCCCCGGTCCGGGAAGATCCCACATGCCGCGGAGCGGCTGGGCCCGTGAGCCATGGCCGCTGAGCCTGCGCGTCCGGAGCCTGTGCTCCGCAACGGGAGAGGCCACAACAGTGAGAAGCCTGCGTACTGCAAAAAAAAAAAAAAAAAAAAGGATGGCCTCGGCAAAGAAGACTCAACTGTACTTTAAAAGCAGAAATGAAATAATCTTGGTATTCTGTCGTTGAATGATTGTGCCTTTGGGCAAAACACTCAAGCCTCTAGGTAGCAGGTTTATCTCTCTGAAAAATGATCTGAGGGCCATTTAGTCATCACTAGACTCCTTTTAGATTTGAGTGTAAGAAAAACAAAGAGAGACAAAGGAGGAAAGGACTAAACAACACCCTCCAACAAATCCTTATTGAGATCAGTGTCCTCAAATGTCACATTTATCTTTCCCAGAAAATGTTCCTCCCTTCCTGATCCCTGCCAAAAGATGAAGTGTTTCACTTATTACCTATAAGAGAAATATATTTTGAAAAATTCCATTCTCATAAGTAGCCCTAGTATGCCAGTAGTGGAAAAAGAATTTGATTTTTTAATAATTAACGTTCCAAAAGGGAACCAAAGGAAATGAGTACTGTTTACAAATTAGAAGGCTGGTCATACTCTTGCCACCAAAGAACTGAAACACCCATGTTAAATTCTACCTGCTTAGAAAAAATCAGTTCTCTCTTGCACCTAAAAGGTGGTCATCAAATTTCAACCAAGTGCTCCGTCGGGAATTGCAGCGGCAGTGAGAAAGAAGTGGAATGGATGTTAGGTTAATGGCACCTCTACCAGACATGCAGCTCTCTCTAGTTTGTTACCAATTTAAATTGGCCCCTTTACTCTGATTTAAATCTAGCATGGTGGTGAAGTTCCCAAGTGCTTTCTACTTTTATACACAGTCATTTGCCAATACTCGCTCTCCAAGGGGCTGCAAAGTGTGAAATCCCCACATGCAGAGCTTAACTCAGTAGCAAGGCTGACTCTGGCACACCTGTTAACAATAGCGCACTGTAAGAGATGGCAGCTGCATTCTGCACCATTCAGAAGAGATGAGCAGGTAGGCTAAGACTCGATAGGGCATGTGCTTCCCCTTTTGGTATTATAATTTCCAAAATGCAGAGTGATTCATATTATTGCATTTGGTGGTTTAAGTTGTCTTTGTTCAACACCCAGACTCCACGTACCTTTTAAAATGTTAGTTCTTGGCAGCCATACACTCACTTCATCAAAGGCTGCCAATATACCCCAGAGCTTCTTAAGGACACACATCTCTCCTCACTCCACACTCTGCCTTTTGTGCTCACAGTATTTGAATGCACTTTACAGTTAAGAAGTCAGTGACTGGATAAATGAAGGAACTGATTTACATTTTCAACAGCAGTGAATAGCAAGATACCCAATGCCTTGTTGCTGAATCTGATGAAGAGCCAGACTGCAAATCTATTCCCTGCCCACCTGACCTCTCCACCACAGATTTCAGGAGTTTAAACTGCTCCTTAATCTCTGACTTGGAAGAAGATTCCCAATTTATGATTAGGTTACTCACCTGGAAAACAACCACCCTCTTTCATCACAACTACCCCATGGGATCCAAATCTTCACTGAGCATTAACCAAAGTACACAGCACAGACTGCACTAAAATAGCAGCGTAACCCCTGACGATTTCCAATGATAACATAAATGGAGATGTATGTAAGCAGATGTGTCATTATGGTGACTCACATGGTATTTAATCTTTGGGAAAATAAACTGAATGTTTTCATCATAGCAAACCAACTGTAAAGAAAATTTTTCCATTTATATTAAATTTTATTATATCCTCCAGTGTATTAATTAACATATATTACCGCTCAAAGAGGCAGCTAGAGCAATCAATGGGCATAATTTGAATTTATCCATCTATCCAAAATGCTGACTTGGCAATTCCTTCCCTCACCCCCACTCTCCAAAATATTGCATGTTAGCCTAAATGTATCTAAACAGGTACGTTATTTATATATAGATGTACTTTGTTTTAAGGTGAAAGAATGAGTCTTCACTTTTTATTACACTGAATCACATGAAATTGCCCTTTCCATAAATAAAAATGCTGAAATATCAGCAATTTCATATAATTCAACCAAATAAAAGGACTCACCACATGAATTCTTTAAACAGTAAACTTTCCTAATGTGTTTAAAATAACTCAATATCCAAAAGTGTACTTTGCATACTTTGCATTTCAGAATCATGGGTTGTATAAAACAAGGTTTATTGTAAAAGACTTTTGTATTATGTATTATGCACTAGGCAGGAAATCTTGAGGTATATCAAGTAAAGACAGGTTCATTCAGCCTAACATTTCCATCTATGCCAAATCTGAAGCTTTGGACTCCTGAGTCTGATGGCTGCAGACCCCACCATGTTTACTAAGTAGGTAAAAGGGATCCATTTAATGCAATTAAGTAGTTATATTTAGTAATACGTCTTATTCACCTGCATTTGTACAAAAGAAGCACTTTTTTTTAACAAAATTGTGTGGAAGAGAAAATTGGGTTTCTTTTGTTTAAAATCAATAATACTTGAAATAGATTCATATTGTGTATATGAAATATAATATTTGAATTAATATTTAGCATGTCAGTTTTGTTCCCTGTAAAATAAATTCTGTTTGGTTTGCTGATAACACCTATATATTGTCTGAAGAATATAAAGAGTATTAGTCTCTTCATCCCAATATAAATTGTAACAATTACAAATTTGTGGGATTTACAATTCTGAGGTGTCATTATTTTTTCTTAGTCGCCAACCTCCCAACTTTTACTTTCTCCCCACTTGCCACCTTATTGGTGTGTTTGTTTCTTTAGTAGTAAGATGTGAAAAATGGGTAATGACTACCAGCTGCCAATGAAAGTGACCTGAGGTGAGGGTGAGATAAGGTATCTAAAGTACCAATATCTTGCAACATTCCCCAACATGTGGGATATTTTTATTTATGTAGCTTCCATTTCGTACTTTCTTCATTTGTTCCTCACAGCAACCCTGTGAGTAATGAGTGGAAGTATTATGAAGTCTGTTTCACAAAAGAGGACGTTAGCACAGAGAGACTGGAGAGACATTCATGGTTACACAGAGGCCAAGTCAAGAGTACACTGCCAGTCTTTGGACTCCTAGTTTAGTACTCATCTCAAAAAGTGCTTTGCTTTCTGAGCACTGAATAGATATTCCAGAGTTATTCATTCCATTACACTCCAAGTTCTGCAAAAAACTATTGAGCTCTATAGGTTATTAATTACTCCCTGTGCCGAAATTCAGAACAAATAAGCAGAATTCTGCCATCTATTAAAATCATTTTATAGTTGCAACAACACATATTTAACAGACTGTAGGGAAGTTTACACAAAGGCAGATCCTGCAGCTTTCATTTACATGGAAGAAGGGAAGAGGCAGAAATATAGATGAATTATCAACCCACAATGCAAATTCTAATCCTCTGATCATTTGACTTAATGTTCACAGTCAATGCCAGTCCTTCACATACATGATTGTGATCTTTCCCCTCCTAGAAATGACAACACCTCCTCTTAGGTAAAAATAGTGCTCTTATTTAAAATTGTATAGTGTTCTAACTGTACACAGCTCTTTCATTTGTGCTCTTTAATAAATGCAATGGCATTAAAAGGGAGAGAATTACTGGCTAGAGAAGCTTCCTCTAGCCACAAAGAATGAATTATTGTCCTCGTAGAAAAAGGAGACAAAAATGTGGGACATATGTAGAGTAGGAAAAGGAAATGCACATAATAGATATAGGTGAGGAGGTTTTGAAGAATAACTTGAGTAATTCCAGGAATTTCAATTCATTTTTCACATCAACTATTTGTTGATTAAATTATACATATACACGTTAGAGAGTAAGAGAGACAGATTACACAGCATACTGAGCTAGGCTCTGTGGGGATCTAAAATTTGCAATCATAAAATCTACAATCTGGTCAAGATGATAAGTACCTATATTCATTCATTCTTTCAACATTTATTCAGCACCTACTGTGTGTGCTACCAGTGAAAACAGAACACACTCTATGCCCT